ATAATAATACAATGATAATGATAATAAATTTTTATTTTAGGTATTTGTGGAAGATAATATTTTTTTTTTTTGTTTTTGCATATTAGCACAAATCATGATCTGAAAAAAAAATTGCGAGGAATAATTCAAAATGGAAGATTACGATTATTAGCATAAATCATATTTTGCAGGAGATTTAAGCAGAATGACTAAAAATGGCAAAGTTAATAGTTGCATATTAATACAAATCATGCACTGAGAAAAAAAGCAGGATCAAAATTACCAGAATATGGTAAAATTTACTGCGTTTCTGGCCAGTGCTTTGGTGATGATTTTGGTATGGTTTTAATAAACGCCATGAAATTTGGTAAATGTGGTAATTTTATTATGATACCTTAAAGCATGGAATAAAAAAATTATTCAGTTAAATTTATATTTCAGTTTTTTTATTTTTTGCCAAATCTACGATTATAAGAACTATAATTTTGAAAGTCAAAATTTTCTGCAAACTGTTGCCATATAAAAGGAAAAATTACTAGATGACTGGTTTAAATACTGTATATTGTGGTTTTATTAGCTAAAATTACAGTTTTGTTTTTTACTATAAATATCATTACCATACAGCACGGTAATTTTACAAGAATTGTTTTTTTCCGTGTGATCTATCACAATTATCAGGAAAAACGGAAAAACTAAAAATATCATTAAAAAAATTAATAAAATAACAATTCAAAATATTTTTCAAAAAGTCACAATTTAAAAAATTTAATGTTTGAACTGGATCTGACAGCATTCTGTACAATTATAAACTGAATTAAAACCATACCACTTGGTCAAAAATGTATTTATTTCCCTGGGTGATATTAACCAATTGATTAAAGAAAACATTGAATATATTAATTTTTCATTAGCTTTAACAAAATCGGAAAATAATTCGTTCATTGAAACATGTTCACTGAATTACACTAAACAGTTTTTGTTCTGGAAATGATTATTTCCTTAACAAACTTTATATGTCAACTATATCATTTATATTTAAAAATGAAAAACACTAAAAAATATTAATAAATAGGATTGCTTACTGTTAGAAAAGAAAAAGAATCATACAGTAAATATCCTCCATTATCGAATTATTCTATTTGCAATTAACATTTGTATTTAAAATAATAATTCATTATTAAAAATAAAGAAAACATCGTTTATTAATTGTAATTGATAGTTTTTTAGTGATTAATTCATTGCAATCAACAGAATTGTCTTTGTAACTGATTTTAAATCTAGTAAGTGCGTCTAATTTGTATAGTTACATTGTAAAGTAGAATATTGTTATGTGGTTAAGCTATTTGTAATAATTAAATTTTATATTTATAGTTAACGCAGGATTTTCAACGGATTAAATATTTTAACAAGTAAAAAATTCTAAGCATATTTATCTAACTTTTTCTAAAATTTAATTTGTTACTTTCAAAAATTTAAAATAATTAATGAAATGAAAAGTGATAACAAGTGCATTCTTCCTAGTTTTTTTAAGAACTAATTTATTCTGATCTTGATAACAGCTTAAATTTTTAAAAATTAACGAAATATAAAATGATGATAAATGTATTGATTCTATTTTTTTAATTGAATCATTCCAATTTTGGCATTAGATTAATTTTTTTAAAGAAATTAACCAAATAGAATTGACAAACGGCATTATTTCTAACATTTTTTTAAAGCAAAATTATTCCAATCTTAACAACAGTTTAATTTTTTAAAGTTAAATATTAAAGCTTAATTATTAAACTCGCATTCCTTTTATAATTTTTTAAATTAAATTAATTCTGTTTTTGCAACAGTATAAATGATTTGCTAATAAACATAGTGTAAAGTGACAACAAAAGCATTCTCCTTAATCTTTTCTAAAAATCAAATTATTTACACTTTGTTGGTACATTCAAAATAGTTTTTACTATACATAAATAAATATATTTCAATAATTTGATCATTCCCATCAATGATATGTGCAGTACATTCAAACAGCTTAAAAATCTTGAACTTAAATTAATATTTATATTCTTTGGCAACAATCCATTTTTAGCTTTTCTATTTCAAATATAATAATAGCAATCAATTTTTCGCATTACACCAACATAACGTATTTTTTTCTTACAGAAAAATCTATTCAACGTTGATCTATAGTACTGGTAACTTGACCTTAATATCGATCACTTGAACCATAATAAAGTGGACATTTTTTGCAATCTCATTAAGCTGTTAAATTGTTGTTGAATCATAGTGTCTCGAACAATTTTAAAATGTGCAATATTATTTTTCAACTTAACAGCATATTAAAGATGCAACTAATTCGAGTAATATTTTATGGTTCAACTTAATACTATATTAAGGTTGCAACAAATTTGAACGATATTATACTTTGTCCCAATTAACTTAACACTCGATTAAGGATTCAATAAATTCAAGCAATATTATGACTCAACGAAACACTATGTTGAGATTGTAACAAATTTGAGCAATATTATGGTTCAACGCAACACCACATTAATAGTGCAGCAAATTTTATCGATATTATGTTTCAATTCAACAAATTTGAACGTTACTATGTTTCAACTTAACACCCAATAAAGATGCAATAAATTCGAACAACATTATGGTTCAATATGAAATCATATTAGAATTACAACAAACTTGATCGATATTATGTTTCAATTTAACACCCAATTAAGGATGCAATAAATTTGAATAATATTATGGTGCAACATAACAAATTTACAAAAACTTGATCGATATTATGTTTCAATTTAACACCCAGTTGAGGATGCAATAAATTTGAACAATAATAAGGTTCAACAGAACACCATAACAGCAAATTTGAACAATATTATGGTTCAACGTAATATATTAAGAGTGAAACAATTTTTTCCATATTATGTTTAAATTTAATACCCAATTAAAGATTCAATAAATTCGAACAATATTATGGTTCAACATAACATCATATTAAGGTAGCTACAAATTTGAATGATATTAAGTTTCAATGTTAACTTAACGTGCTATGTATGTTAACTTTACACCTAATTAAGGATGCAATAAATTCAAACTATAATGCGGTTCAACGTAAAAGTATATTGGTGTTGCAACCAATTTGAACAATATTACTGTTCAACTTAATAACCAATAACGATGCAGTAAATTCGACCTATATTATGGTTCAGCCTAACACCATATTGATGTTACAGCAAATTTTAATGTTATTATGGTTCAACTTAACACAGTAATTAAGGATGAAAAAACTTCGATCTATATTACAGTTTAACTTAACACATTATTAAGGTTGCCGCAAATTTATGATGGTTCAACTTGACAGTTTATTTAGATTGCAACAAATTTAAACAATATTAAGCTTTAACTTGCCATCATATTAAGATTGAAGCAATTTTGAACGATTTTAATGGTTCAAGCTTCTAATTTTCTAACAGTGTTCTAACGGTTATCAAAATAATGCTTAATATTTTTACTTTATGGAGTTTTTATTTAGGGAGTCTCTTCTTTAACAAACATAGTAAAAAATATTTAATTTTTAAAAAATTGAATTTTAAAATAAGTTTTTACAAACTGCTTATTTTAAATCTTTTTGACAAAAGAAAAAAAGCCCCACAAATTATAGAAGATTTATGGAGTAGGTTTAAAATACATTTAAATTTAGACTATTCTAAAAATACTGCAGTAATTTTGTATAATGTATTTTTCAACATTTTAGTTGATTTCACGAACAATAAACAAACGAGTACTTAAATGGACAAACACATATATGATATATGAGTTTTAGGCAGTGAGTTCATATGGACTTATATGTTATGATTGAATAATAGCATGAGGCTTTCTGGAATAAATTAACGACAAAATTAATATTGGAAGAGATGTAATTGTTACATATATATACTCACGTTGGTTGAGAATTAAATCGAAACAAGAAGCAAAATATAAGTAAATCGCAAAGAAATATTAGAAACAGTTTAATAAACTTTAATTATTAATTATGTTTATAATTATGGTTTAATTTTTAATTGTTAATTATATTTATAATTATGGTTTAATTTTAATTATTATGAATTTACAATTTTGATAGATTTATTGCTATTTTAGATAATTTTCTTAAAATTATTTTTTAAAACTTAAAGTAATGTTGAAGTGTATTTTCATATATAAAGTATAGAGAAGGCGTATGAAACATTAAAAAAAAGAAACTTTAAGGCTTATTTCTCTTAATACAAAATCAAGACTAAATAAGTATATAATTATTATAACATAAAATAAAAAAACACTGAAAGTATATATTTTTATTTTTATAAACAATAAAGGGAAGAGATATTTTATAAAATAGGTTACATTATTCCTAATTTACTCATTTATGCTCAATTTTCTGTTACATGAATTCATAGAATGAAATTCTCACTTACATAATAAACAAATCATGTATATCACATATGAATATTAATCTTGTATGCCATCAAACAATAAATTGAACGCAAACAAATAGCAATCATTTTTTTAATTTTATTACTTTATTTATGATAATATTTTTAGAAATTATAGCAGTTATTTGGGTATAAGTAAAAATATGATTTTGTATATGTATTGCAAGGTAAAACATAAAATAAAAAGGACGGATATGCGGACGGAGATACAAAATATTATATCTTTTCAAATCTAATAAACAATTGCACTTAAAAGAACAATCAAACAAAACATTAAAGTGTAGGAAAAAATAAGTTTCATTAAACTGACAGTTAAAATTAAATACTCTAACTTTGAAGCATGTGGTAAACTCATTTCTTATTCTCATTCATAGTGATTGTAGTACATATATTCAGACTTCTATTTACTGGTTTTATTTTAAGGAACTTAATAAGAGGAGGAACTTAATTGAAGAATTTAAATAACTTCTTTTAAGGAACTTTAAAGAAATTGAATTATTGTTGATTCATTTTACTGATTTTATTTGCTATTAATTTCTTCTCTTTTCTTTAAACTGTTTGTGATGTTAAATTATAAAATTGTGATTTATTCATGAGTTTAAGACCTTTCGCAACTTTATGATTTTATTACATAACATGCGAGGACACGAAAATGGTTAAAAATATCAACATTCATGTATGATTTACAGAAAGCTTGTATATGCTTAATTTTTTAAAATATTAAAAAATATGCTCACCATCTAAGAAATTTCATTAAAATTTATCCAGAAAGCCAAAAGCATGGAAATGAAACATAAAACCATAACAGCGCCAGCTGTTATGAGCAACGAATTACACACTTAAATAAACTTCTTCTTAGCTTGCTTTAATTGCCGACGTCTCTTTAAAATCATTTCATATAATATCTCTAGACCTTCTTCCAGTCCATCGCCAATAATAGCGCAGGATGGCTGCACGTGCCACAAATGTGCTGCTCCAAGTTCAACACTCAGTCCCAAAACTTTTTCAATTTCCTTGGCATCCTTTGCACCAGGTAAGTCTTGTTTATTGGCAAGCACTAAAACGGGCACACCAAGATTTTCAGGTGCTTTGGCCATCCTCATCAACTCCATTCTAGCTTCTTCTAGTCTTTCTTCATCAACACTGTCCAGTACAAAAACTATTCCGTCAGTACATCTCGTGTAAGATCGCCACAGAGGTCTGAGTTTGTCTTGTCCTCCTACGTCCCAAATAAGAAAACTTGTTCCCTTAGCTTTCCCAGTGGTTCCTTTAATTTTTTCACAGTTGAATCCAATTGTTGGCACTGTATTTAGGTACTGATCAAATTTTAGACGGTAAAGTGCTGTTGTCTTGCCCGCCGAGTCTAAGCCTAGCATTACAATATGTAGACTTTGATTTGGAGGAAGACTTTCTAGAAGAGCAGCTCCTTTTCCAACAGTGGCTCCCATGCTTTAGGTAGGCGCTAACTCAACATTGTTAACATTTCGCCGATGTGCATTTTCAAGAGAACAAGTTTAATTAACAAGGAATTATTATTTAAGATGAAAAATTAAAAGTATCACAGCTTGGAAACGTCGACTGAATTATAAATACCAAACAAAGATCACGTTTGTTGTAATTACTTTCCTCTTTCTCCACTAAAAAACTACCTAAAGCCTTGATGTTCGTTGGAGTAAATGATGTTCACGCATATTAATTAAATTTTTCAATTTTCCGTATTAACTACACTCTTTGTTCTGAGCTGAGACTGTTCAAATGTACAGTTTCCAAGTATGTTATCAATGCGTCTAATGCAAACTTAAAAGGTAAGTAAAACTTCTTAAGTCTTCTTTCAACTTTTGTAGTAAATGAAGAAGTGAAATAGAGTCATTCTTCTGCAAAAGTCTCAACTTAAAATGCATAATGATATTAACTTACAATTACAAAGTCAAACATGGCATATTTTGTGAGGATCTGACTAGACTATGAAATCTACTTTTGGAAAACAATTACCGGACGTTTTTGGAAAGGAACAGTTTCTAAAGCAATCAGAGCGTTCGTTAAAAAAAGGATGTAAATTCTATGCACTTCCACAGTTTCGGGGGGAAATAGTCTATTGACCCTCTGTTGTTTTCCATCAAACAAGCTAACACTTATCTAATTTCGAAAAAGGATAAAAAACATACATTTTTCATTAATAACAGGAGCAGAAAAGTTATTTTATAAATAGAGGAGTTATTTAGAAATGTAGTTTATTCAGAAGTTTCATTAAATTCATGATTTTTGGAAATAAATTGGTTTTTCTCGCTGGATAAATAATAAAATTTTAAATATTGCTCTATTTTTAGCAAATCCGTTTTGCCGAAATGAGTAGAACAAAAGCAATGGCTAAATATTTTGTGTTGTGTTATTAGTTTGGGGTGGGGATATAAGTCTCACCTTCATTTTTTCCGAATATAAATGCTCTTGCAATCAAAACTCAAAAGTAGAGCAGAAATTTATCCATATGCTTTATCATTCCTGGATATTATCGCCTTCTATTTTCTTTGCAAATAACTTTTAACCATAACATAACTATTGGGAACAGCATAAAATCCTTTAACAATATCAAGCTCTTGCATTATTTGTTTACAAAAAAAATTGGTTGCTATTATTTACTTTAAAAAAATCCTCTGGAATAGCGTCCGGGATCAGGGGAAAACATAGATTTGATCGCTCCAGACAGAACTGGCTGCTAGTCCACAAAAGGTTGCCACATTATCCGTCTGGATTCCGCCAAAATAACGTCGCCAATATTTTCAGGAATAGGAACTACTTTCCCTTTCGTTCCGAATTTTCCTACAGCAATATTAATGAAAAAAGAAAAAATGCTCCCCCGAAATCTCTCCTCCTCCCCTGATGTCGTTTCTCCTCTTTAGATTGAATCGGAGAACAGTAGTAAAAATTGTCTGTTTTACGATTTTTTCTGGTCTCGTAATGGGTTTTCGCGTCATAAAAAATGCGAATAAAAAGGCGAAAGGTGCTGGAAAATGAATAAAGAACGACATAAAGGATCACCACATCTTTGTGCGATTTAATAATACGAAACATTGTTTAATTCGGTGGCAAGAAATTTTGTTCCTTTGTTAAGTACATTAATGTCTCTTTTAATTTCGGTTCTGAACACTGAGATTTAGAAGAAAAAAAAAACATTAATTCGCACAATGGAAGAATGAAAAATAAGATTAGGGTACGAAATAAAATGCGAAGCATTAAGGTGGCATAATGGCTTTTAGATTTCAATAGATTGTCTTATTTCTTTATTCACACTAAAAATATTTTTCTTTCAATTTAATTCCCATTCTGACACAGAAAATGGTTAATGTATTCATCATAATGAGATTAATTGACTGTTTGTTAATTGGTGAAAAATCTTTCTTTCAAACTTTTAACAAATGCATTTTGCAAATGCACAGTCAACGAATTGATATTTTTTAAAGAAATAATCTTAAAAAAATAATTATAAATTTTTTATAATGTATTTTTTTGAAAATTCATATTCCTCTTTTTATTATTTAGAATTATATATTTATTTGTGAGGTTGCTTATGAAATATAACAATTTATAGAAGAAATATTCACGTCATTTGAATTAATACCTTTTTCAGTTTAAATCAAAATTTTAAATTGAACAATTTTGCCATTGTTTAAAAAATGCTTACAGCTGTTGTAGCTATATGTTAGAAATAAAGTTTCAGGAAAATTCGCCAAACGCAGATCATAATATAGATACTTTGAACCATAATATTGGGACTATGTGCTATGTAAAATCAAGTAAGTTTTACAAAATTTAAACTATAATTAAATTTAACCATGAGTGGACATATGCCCACTTATGGTTAAAAAAGTATACATAAAAATGTTTTAAAACAATGTAAATATGAAATAATTAATGTAAGTATAAAAATGTTTTTGTGATATAGTCTTATTTTATTTTAAAACCATCATTGAACTTCCAACCCAATTTTGGATTTACGACTACTAATGTTCAACTCCACAGTCTTATAATTTTGAACAAAATTCATAAGATAAGGGAACTCCTGGATCAAAAATTGAAAGAAATTTGCCTTCGTGGATGACTTTTTAATGGAGTTAACCTGCACTTGCGTTATATGGAGAGGAAAACCATGAAAATCCCCCACGATTACCCTGACGGCATGGAGACTAAGACCATTGATACCCCTAAGGATATTTTACGTCAGCACTGTGGTCGTCAGCAATTACATTTGTAAGGAGATCATATTTTTGTAAGTCATAAAATTACTTTTGAACAGTTTATAAACTTAAATAATCCCAAGAAGCTGAATCGGTAAGATATTACTTTATTAAAAAAATACTTCATTCTCTTCAAAAATACACAAATTGGGAATAACAATCGACATCTTTAAAGAGCTCAAAAATAAGTGCCCATTTTCAAGACTTGCCAGGCGTGAATGAGAAGAAACAAAATTGGTAAGAAATTTCAAATAATTTTTGTCGCTTGTATTTCAAATCAGTTTTTGTCACTTTTGTTTCAAATCACTAGAAACATGTCGTCTGTTATTTTCAATATGTATATTTTAAGCGAATGGAACTGATTTGCAGCTTGGTAACAGAAATACAATTTTGTAAAAATGTTTATAAAATAAAAGATTTAGATAACATTGCCAGCTGTGTTAGAATTCATTAAGTTCCATTGTTCATATAATAGCTCAGTTTTTGGAAATAAAAGTTAATAAATATGGTATGTAAGGATAAAATATATTTTCTTCCTTTAATAAACCGTATTAATATAAATATTTTTTTCGAAAATCACGTTTGCGGTCGCATTTCCTTGGAGATAATACTTTTAGAAGCTATGGTATTATTATCTTTAAAGGCTTCATTTATACGTTTAGAGAGTATCTGTTTTATAACAAGAGAGAGAATTTTATTACAATGTTGTAGAAAATAAAAGATTTTGATTAAATTTAATGCGTCGATAAAGTATTTTTTTTTTTTAATTTTATAACCGTCATTGAACAGCAGACCCAATTTTGAGTGTATGGCTACCAATGTTATGACTACTAATGCTCATCTCCGGACCCTTGTAATTTTGAACCCAATCCTGAGGACAAGGGAACTCCTAGATTAAGTATTGGAAAAAAAATTCATGGGGAGGCATTTAATGCGTTTCATGGAGAGGAAAACTACCAAAACCTCTGTTTGGTTGCTCTGACGGCGAGGAGAGAGTCTAACCAATGATCCGTCTACCACTGAGGATATTTTACGTCAGCACTGTGGACGCTACGAGCCTGGTTTGGAATTCGTATTTACCAGCCATCTCTGTGATTCGAACCCGGGTCATCTCATTGGAAAGGGAGTGCGCTATCCCCAGAGGCCAAAAAAAACTCTGTTTTGGAGAATAAAAGTGAAGTAGCTAATAAAACAAGTTAAAAAATGAGTTCTTAGCTAAAAAAGCGCTACATGTTGAGCCATCTCAGCTAGATTTGGCATGCGACATTTTTAGCGGCACTCATTGGTCGATTTTCTAGCGTTGCCATTCGGGGAGTTGTAATGAGGCTTTTTTTGTCAACGTGTAAGAGAAATATATATATATATAGATATTTTTTTATTGACACGTGTGGGCATCGTTTCATGTGATTATTTATGAAACGTTAATTAAGAAATCCTTCTAACTAATCTTTCCATTAATTTTTTGTCACATGAAACTATTCATTAAATATTCTATGAATTGCCTATTATCCCAGACACTCGCTAGACGAAATAATCAAGCGAAATCGTTTTCGTCTACTACTTATAAAATAGATCTCCATCAAATGAGTCTGGAAATTTTCAGACGCTTTATATTTTATCGATTATTACGAAAATTAAGTTTTATTGGTTTTCGTGCGAAATTAAAGTCTATCCAATTTCATTTAGCGAAAAAATTAGTTATATATAATATACAATCGTTTTTTATGTGTTGCACATTTTGGTTCCTGCAAAATCATGGTTTTTGTTACTCAAATTTAGGAAATAATTTGCACTGTTACATGGTGAAATTTAAACCTTCTTAGGAAAGAAGAAAATTCACCCCTCATTTATGGTTCTACACGCTTCAATGTTTTTTAACGATATCGATAAATGTAGGATGCTCCGTCAAGGCAGCTCTTACTGCGTATTTTTTGAATTTATGAAGAAATTAAAATGAAAAACAAGCAAATTGAAAATAGCAATTATTTTTTAAGCGAGAAAAAGCAAAAATAGAATTAAAACATAATTGTTCAGTGAATAAATTTCTGCTGCAGCAAAAATTTAGTAGGATTATGGTTAATGATACCCGATTATATTATAACCAGTTTTGAACAACTGACGTAATTCGGGGATTGAGACTATCAATATTCAACTCCGTAGCCTTGTAATTTTGAACCTAACGCAAAAGACAAGGGAACTCCTCTATCAAACATTAGAATAAGTTAGCCTACGTGGAGATTTTTATTAATTGAACTATCCCGCATCTACGTTACGTGGAGGGTAAAACCACGAAAGCCTCCCATGGTTAGCCTGATAGAAAATAGATTCAGACCCATGATCTGTCTACCAATGAGGATATTTTACGTCAGCACTGTGGTTGGTGCAAGCTGGATTGCGGAATTCGTATTGACCAGTCATCCCTCGGATTCGAACCCGTACACCTCACTGAAAGGCGAACGATCTAACCCCTGTGCTATCACGGATCATAATACCTGATTGGAAAAAATATAAGTGATCTATAGGGAATATCGGGCAAGGGCTTACACATCTTGGACATATTATTACCCTGGTCTGTTTGGTTACTATTAATAATACATGGCGAATACTAAAAAATTATGCTTTTCTCATTAAAAAAAAGAAGAAGAAAAGCAAAATGCGCACCTACCTGTTTCAACTAGAAATTACTTTCAACTTTACAATATTAATGAAAATTATGGAATATTTATATTTCATATTTTGTCTGTTTGTCATCAGCTATCGGATACAATGTTTACACAATGTGTGAAATTATATCATGCAGCGATGATTAATTTTCGGCATTGTTTACAACGCCGAAGAACAGCAGCATGCCCATAAATAAAATTTATTAAAGCTGTCATATGAAAAAAAGCATACTTTGTAGTGAAAGATGTTAAGATTATAAGAAAATAAGTTTCTTTAATAGTTTAAAGAAAAGGATTGAATGATTCTAACTTTAGCTGATGCTATTCCTATTGTAATCTGTAAAAGTAAAACTTTATTTTCCCATTAAATTGGTGACTATGAAGAAGCTTCCGAATTGGTGTATCTCTTTAGAAAAAAAAATTTTAAGCCAGAATTTGCTTTGTTTAGACAAGTAATTCTTTTTTACAATCTATGATTTTGAACAAAGTAATTCTAATTGATACGTTAAAATTTTGTAAATCTTGGGAGTTGATGCACTATTAGAAATTCCCCAGAAAAAATTGTTAAACAACAATTTATTTAGTATTTATTTTACCATATTCAAACAAAACAGTCAGCTAACCATAAATAAAATGTTGTTCAAACTGTTAACTGTGAGTAATACCGTTTATTAACTGCTCTCACCTAATAACGGTTAAAAGTTGAGAACCAGAATTTTATCACACCAATTTTATAGCCTAGCTCCTATCTCCCGATAAATGTCCCTTTAACGGTTTTGAAACCATGATATAAGTAAATGGTTAAAGACAGTAAAGTTT